ACCTCCAAAAGATTGCTCCTCACACTCCTCCTCAAATACGAGGATTTAAAAATGTATGGAGCTAACCGAACCCTCAAATTTAACTCCTGAGAAGTCATATCGTGCACAAACATCTCATTTGAAACTCAAATTTAAAACTATATTAGGGCCACATAGCACACAATTATACATTGTATTCCATAACACAACATCTTAGTACACAATTAAAGTAGATCACATTTATTAGAGATAAATTAAGGCTAAGATGAGATAAGTTAAAGGTAGGGTTTGAGGGCGGCATGGAAAGATAGGGTTTGGTCAGGGGGAGGGGGGAGGAGCTGCATTGGTGGGAGGGGCATGTAGGTCAATTGGGCGGCATCGGCGGTTGTGCCATTTTTTTCTACGAGAGGAGAACATACGAGATTGGGAGAGAATGAGTGTTTCCTGCCCAAATTTGAGCAGGAAATGAATCTTTTGAGGTTTAACTCCACAATTTTTTTGACAAACTATAGGTTCGAGAATTCTGTTAGCTAGAGTTTAACTTCCCAAAAGGTCTCAATATGAGAGTTTCTGGATTTCGAAGGGTTCAAATTAGAGATGAGCTTAAGCGGTCAGCTACACTTCACGTGTAGTGGCGTTCGTCAGATGCTTTGTTGCGACTGGAACCACCCCCCTTTGGTAAGTTTTTTGCCATCATCCATGGTTCCGGGATAACCTTTGTATATATTTCGTCGCTCCATATTATATATGCTCTCGGAGATATTAAGCCATACCCTAACCTTTGAAACCGTTTCCCTATAACGCTCTATGAGAGAGAGAGAGAGGCTAAGGCGATGCTCCTAACCTTAGCTGCCTTCCCTTCTCGTCGTGAGGGCGCGTTGTCGGTCAAAGCCCACATGGTGTCGACGATGGGTGGGAGGTCCAGTTCATGGGAGGCTTTCCTGAGAATGTCTTGGAGGTCTTAGAGGGTTGCTGCGGTCGGAGAAGGAGACGGGGGCTCGAGTGGAGGCCTTCGCCGGGCGATGCTCGACGGCGGTGTTGGTGAAGCTGGCAGCGGCCGGACGAATCCAACACCGCGAGCTTCGGTGGTGGACCAGCCTGGCTAGGACACCGGAGAAGACAGTGTCGGTGCATGGCCCTTGACGATGGTAAGTTCGATCTCAGATCCGGATTTGATGGACAACGATGTGGGTAATTTGTGTCAGATTTTCTTTAGGGAGTCTTCGTATTTGTTTTGGGTTGACGTGGTGGTCTTATCACCGTTTAGGAATAATCATTTTTCCGCCCTTTTCTCCGTTTCATTGGTGTTCTTATCACCGGCGGGGATGTGAGGTTTTGTGCCTCCGACGGGATCCACCCAGTTTAGGTTTTTGATGGATCCATTTAGATTCGGACTGCTTTCATTGTCTTTGGAGTTTCTACAAGTCCTTATCGATGTTCTCTTCTTCGGGGTGGTGAATTGCTTCGTACATCACGGACGCGACGTCTCATGCTCTGCATGGACGACTTCTAAAAGTTTATGTGTTTCAAAATGTTAGATCCACCAAAACAAATGCCTGAAGGCGCATCGAACTATGTTCACGATGCGCCACCGTAATAACAAGGAATACAGGACTTGCTTAGAGCATCTCCAGCCGTTGGCCCCCCAGGGGGCGCCTAAAATCGCCGCCTGGGCGTGACCCGGCGCAAAAAGTGGGTCTGGGGGTGAGTTGGCCCCCAGCCGCCGCCCCCAGGGCCGGCCCCAGGCGTAAAAAAATAGACAAACTTGGGCTGAAACACGCCACTTTTCGGCAAACATGGGCTTTTATATTCGTAAATTTGGGCTAAAACACGCTATTACATATAAAAACTAGTCAAAAAAACTTGCTGGAGGCCGAGAAGTCGCCGTCGTCGCCGCCATCGTCGGCCTTCTCCTCCTTGACTCGGGCGCCCCTGCTGGACCCCTTCCCGGTTGGTGGCGGCGGCGGCGGCGCGTCATCGTCGTCGTCGCTGTCGTCGATGATGACGCCGCCGCCTTCGTCGCGGCCTCGGCGGCGCTGCGTGAAGCGCTCTAGGGCGGCGCGCTGGCGCTCCCTCGCCATCTTCAGGGAGTCTTGGCGTGCCCATTCAAGGTCCGCGTCGTCGTCGAGCTCGACCTCGCCGTGCTCCGCCTTCACCGGCGCCAGCAGCCCCGGCTCCGTCTTCCCCGGAGCCAGCCCCGGCTCCGTCTTCACCGGCGCGAGACCCGGCTCCATCTTCGGCTTGACGAAGCGCGGGGGAGGAGCCGACGAGGAGGCGCGCCGGCCGCCCTCGCTGATGACGATGCCGGCACTGCGTGTACGCCGGCTGAGCGGCGTCTCCGCCACGGGCTCGGCCTTGACGTCGAGCAGCGATGGAGTGCCGGAGGAGTGGGAGGAAGAACGCGACGAGGAAGAGGAGGAGGAGGAGCCGAACCTCCTCGACGCCCATTGCCCGTCGCGTCGGCGGTGCGTCGCGGCAGCCATCCTCGCCGGGGGGTACGCCAACGGTGGGTTGTTGCCGCCCTCGAGGTGCGCCAGCACGCCGTCGAGGGTGCGGCCGTGGACGCCCCACCAGAGGTGGCGCCCCTCGCTGTTCTTGGTGTCGCCGACCACCGGCGCCCCGTTGGTGGACGCCAGTCGTTGCTGCTGGCGGCGCTCGAAGTACGCCGCCCAAGCCGCGTTGTTGTCGGCGGCGTACTGGGGAAGGAAGCGCTCGGCGTCGGTGAGAGAGGCGCGTGCGATCTCGATCTCGTCGGCGAAGTACGATGGCATGGTGACGGCGTCGGGCAACGGGGGAATGGGCACTCCTCCATTGCTGAGCCTCCAGCCCGTCGGCCCGGCGCGCATGTCCGACGACGCCGGGATGTTCGCGTGGGACAGCAGCCAGGACTCCTGTTCGCGGAGCGAACGGCGGCCGAAGCCGTTGGTGGCCGCCTCGTCTCCGGGGAAATGCTCGGCCATCGGGGAGAGGGAGTGGCTGGGAGAAGAGATCGGCGGGAGAGGGAGTGGCTGGGGAGAAGAGATCGGCGGGAGAGGGAGGGCTGAGGTGGCACTTCAACGCAGGCGAGCAAGACCATATATAGCCGAAGGAGGGGAGGCGTCGGCGCGCGTCGGCGCGCAGCCTCGTGACGCGCCGCCCGTGAGAGGAAGCAATGGAAAAGGTGACCGGCGGCAGCCCCATTGATTCCCCGCGGGAAACCGAGGAAGACGAGGCGGACGGTGTCGTTGACGCGGCTGCCACGCGGCGCTTTCGCTCCAAAAACGATTCGCCCGGCGCCCCCGAATGTCCCCCACGCGCCGGGTTCGGGTTGGGTCCGCGGCGCCAATTTTGACCCGAACCGGCGAAAAATGGGCCCCAGGGGACGCGACTGGGCCGATTTTTTAACGCCGGCGATCGAAAAGTCGCCTGGGGGGCTTTGTTGGGGGCGCGGCTGGAGATGCTCCTAGGGGTGTGAGGTAACATGCGCCAGCATGCATGTTGGAGGCCATCCTAGAGGTGGTGCACGCGGCGGCAGAGAGAAGCGTGAGATCGATCAGGTGGCCGTTGGGCGGCGTCGCCATTGAAGTTCCCAACCTGACGAGCCAGAGCAGTAACTAAATTTGCAAGGCCCCATTCTACCAAAAAAGAACAAGAGAAAGGAGAAAGAATTGAAGTCCCATTGGCCGACAAATAGCCGTACGCCCGTGCCTTCCTGCTGCCACGTACTTCGACTGTTGGCAAGCAGTGCACACGCAGCGGTTCTCGCAGCGTCCCCGTACCCTCCGCGTCACAGACTCGTCACGGCCTCGATCTTTCGCCGCCCTGCGGTTCGCGAAGCTCCGGCCATCTCACCGTCACGGCGCCACGGCTCACGACCACCTTAATCCTTCTACCCAACATATGCATGCGTGTAGCCGGTGCATTTTACATGCTTAATCGATCAAGATCTGCACCATTCCTCGTCAACTTCCATCACTGGTCAAGTCTTCTCGTCAACTATATGGCAGATCAGATTGGCGCTGCACGTCCTGACGTCCGGCGCTATATATGGCGGCAGTGAATTCCCCATGCACGCTCTGCTGCGTCTGCGTGCGTGCTGGCACCATGGGTCGTCTTGAATTGCACTGCCGAGTGCTGACTGTGCGCTGCTGCTGCATGAATCACGAGCTCCCACGCTACTCTGCTTCCACCTGTCAAGTTTTCATTTATCGTCGCTCTTCCCCTATCTATCTATCTACAGTAGTAGATTGCTCTGCCCTGGATTTGGCTCAGACATTTAATGTTCAGAATCAATTCAACCAATACCATATCTACACGATCTTCATCTGCGTTTATATTTACCATGCCGAATCGATTCGCTCCTCTTATTTATTTTATTTAATTTTATGTTATTTTATTAAGATTGCCTAGTTCGCAACAGTAGCTATGATACTTCCATCACTGGCAACCTGATAATTCCTCCGTCTCGGTTTACAGGGCATGCACGTCATTCCAGGTTGAGAATTTAACTACTCTCTCGTTTCATCTATATAGGGCCTAATGCGTTTTTTGAGGCTAACTTTGACCAAGTGTTAGAGCAATAATATATGGCATGCAAGTTACACAAAACATACCATCAAATTCGTACGTGAAAGGAGCTTCCAATGACATAATTTTCACATTATACATCTCATGTATTATTAATCTTATCAATAGTCAAAGGTGGTCTTGAAGAACACATTAGGCTCTATATAGACGGAAGGAGGGAGTAGCTATATATGTATTATATGTGATGAAAATATATGTTTACAAATTACATCCGCCTAAGAATTGAATTATATACTTTTGGTGACATATAACTCATATTTAGTTAGTCAAATGAATGACCTAGAAGTACGCACATGTCTTACTATAAACCGGACCAAATTCCTGTCTTCAAGGCACGATCTCCACCTGCATTTACATTTACTAATCCAAATCGGTCCGCAAAGACCAATACCCTAAAGCCCCTAGGCGCGATCTCCACCTTTATATTGAGCTAGACTTCAACCCACGGCCACAACATGGAGAAGTGCTCTCCCAACGCCACTGCCACCATGCCACTAGTGAACGCCGGCGCACCGGCGCTTGCAATGCTAGCCGCAACGGCTGCCACCATCATGCTCCTTCTTGCATTCCTGAGGCGACACAGCAGCAAGACCACCCTGTCCAAGCGCGGCGGGCTGCCGCCGGGGCCCGCGGGGCTGCCAGTGCTCGGCAACATGCACCAGATGCTCGCAAACAAGCCTGTCTTCCGCTGGCTGCACCGCCTGCTGGAGGACGCCGGCGGGGAGATCGTGCGCGTGCGCCTCGGCCCCGTGCACGTCGTCGTCGTGGCGTGCCCCGCGATGGCCCGTGAGGTGCTGCGCAAGAACGACGCCGTGTTCGCGGACCGCCCGGCCACGTTCGCGGCCGAGTCCTTCAGCGTGGGCTACCGCAGCGCCAGCATCTCCCCCTACGGCGACCAGTGGAGGAAGATGCGGCGCGTCCTCACAGCCGAGGTGCTCTCCCCGGCCACCGAGCACCGCCTCCGCGGCGCCCGTGAGGAGGAGGCCGACCACATGCTGCGGTGGGTGCACGCCCAATGCAATGCCGGCGGCGTCGTCGTCGACGTGCGCCGCGTGGCCAGGCACTTCTGCGGCAACCTCATCCGGAGGCTCACCCTGGGGCGGCGGCATTTCCGCGACCAGCAGCCGGACGCCGTCGGGGCGCCGGGGCCCGACGAAGAGGAGCACGTGCACGCGCTGTTCGCGGTGCTCGGCTACCTCGACGCGTTCGCCGTGTCTGACTACTTCCCGGCGCTGGTTGGCCTCGACCTGGACGGCCACGAGAAGGTCATCAGGGGCGTGATGAGGACGCTGAACCGGCTGCACGACCCCGTCATCGAGGAGCGGGTGGAGGAGTGGCGGCTGCTGCGGAAAGCCGGCGAGCGGCGCAACGTTGCCGACTTCCTCGACGTGCTCGCCTCGCTTGACGGCGCGGGCGGCCGGCCGCTCCTCACCGTGGAAGAGATCAAGGCACAGGCCATTGTAAGTTATTCATTGCGTTTATGTGCTACAGTAGTACAGTATTATTCTAGTAGTAGTATACTTTCATTCATATATAGAAAGACGATGATCAAAGTCATGTGCAGGAGACCTTAAAGATGTTCATCTTGAATCGGGTGATCGTACGGGGAGTATATCTGGAGCATCGTCTTTAAAAAAATTTAAAAAATTCTGGAAAAAAAGTATGGCGTAGATAATATTGCTAATACCTAACATGTTTCAATTTTTTAATCAAAATTCATAGGACAAGTCGAGGAAAAAAAGAGAGGCAAATTCGACTTTGAATGTACCAAAGTTAAGTTGGGCTTTAAATTTGGCCTTTTATCACTACCCATACCAAATTTGGCATATACTCGAATATTTTCTCACAATTATATGTACAAAACGAAGTTGGATATACCATATAATAGACATGAAGCAATGGCAAAGATATACTCTCTCCAATCCATATTATTTGTCGCTCAAACGGTGTATCAAGCACTGAAATATGCCTAGATACATCCATTTGGGCATCAAATAATATGGATCAGAGGGAGTACTAACAAGTTGCTTTTCGTCTTCGTACGAAGGGAAGCTGGGTAATACTGTTTTTTTTCCAAAAAGGGTAAACCTTATTTGTGGCGATCATTTTTCTTCCTTTCTCCACTTTTGCAATTCCATTCTAGCCCAATTTGTGATTAAAAAATTCCTCTTTATTATTTTTATTTCACATATTAATTTTGGCTTATGTTTAATTTCCTATAGTTTGATTACGTCTATGTATCAACATGCATAAGACCAATTCAATATCGTCAGATACATAATCAAAAATGTTTTCACAGTTTAATTATTTGATATTTTAAAAATTTATTGTTTGACATATTTCGATTACAATTAATGTACATTTAATCAAACTTTAAATAGTTTGACTTAAGAAAAAGTATTAATAAACAAAGTAAAAAATCAATAAGATAGTACTTCCTCCATCCGGTTTTACTAGCCCTCCTTATATTTTTTTGTCAAAATTTGATCATAGATTTAATTATTAAAATGTAAGTTATATATCATAGAATTCGTATCAATTGATTTGTATTTGAAAGAAGTTCTGAATAGTATACAACTAATACACAAAACTTATGTTTTATTCGTTAAATCTATGATCAAAGTTTGACATCAAATATAAAGGAGAATAATAAACCCAGTCAAAGACAACAGATTTCTCCTAGGTTTCATTAGCGAAACCATATAAGTTTAAATCATTATTTAATGTTATACACCCTCACACTCCCATGGCTCTACAAAAGGCCACTGCCCGACCTTTACGTTTTCTGCAGCAGCTAGAAAAATTTCCCATTTGCCATTTTCCACCCTTCCTTCTCCCAACCACAATTGTAGTGGACCCAGAGTAATCGGACTATTCAATATGGCAACTTCTGCGTTGGATATATAAAATTTGCTGCTCTCACGTGCCTAATCGGTCAGCTGACTCCGGATATGTCCGCACGGCAGCCATTGCTGAGACAGCAGAGACCGATGGACTGACTTTATTGCATGCATGCATGCAGGATATCATGATTGCTAGCGTGGACAACCCATCGAACGCGGTGGAGTGGGCGCTCGCGGAGATGATGAACAAGCCGGAGCTCATGCGGAAGGCGATGGAGGAGCTCGACGCCGTCGTCGGCCGGGACCGGCTGGTCCAGGAGCCCGACCTCCGCAGCCTCAACTACCTCAAGGCCTGCATCCGGGAGGCCTTCCGCCTCCACCCGTACCACCCGTTCAACCCGCCCCGCGTCGCCATGGCCGACACCACCGTCGCCGGCTACTCGGTCCCCAGGGGCAGCCAGGTCGTCCTGAGCCGCGTCGCCCTCGGGCGGAACCCCAAGGTGTGGGCCGACCCGCTCGATTTCCGGCCGGAGCGGCACCTGGCCGGCGACGAGGCCACCGTGGCGCTCAGCGAGCCAGAGCTGCGGTTCGTGTCCTTCAGCACCGGGAGGCGGGGCTGCCCCGGGATCGCGCTGGGCACCCTCTTCACCGTCATGCTGTTCGCGCGGCTCCTGCAGGGGTTCACGTGGAGCATGCCGCCCGGCGTGGACGGAGTCGAGCTGCGCGAGGCGGAGGCGAGCCTCGTGCTGGCGGAGCCGTTGCGTCTGCAGGCTAAGCCGCGGCTGCCGGCGCATCTCTACGGGCCTGAGTACGACTGCTCCTCGCGACAGCTATAGAAGGAAGGAGAAATGCTCTGTGTAGCTGCTGTACGTGCCCGCGGGCGTACGTGTCTGAGCCCCGGTATCTGCAGTCAAAGTGCTGTATCGAATAAGTAAAATCGTGCGTTCCTTTTCTCAGTTCTGTATGTACTGTCGAATAAAGTAGTTGTGTGATGACGAACCCAGCTGCCAGTGAACCGGTGGAGACCACAGAGCTGGACCACCCTCTTTCTGTAAAGAAATAGAGTATAAGACTCCTCTGTTCGTAAAGAAATATAAGCTGTGATTGAGTGGTTAGGTGGAGAGTAGTATCCCCAGCCCAGCAGGGTAAGTTTTGGTGCTCACATTGTTTTCGAATTTATTTCAGGATTTCCCGCGACGCGCTTTCAATGGGAGAAGACGTTTCTATCGACGACGAGGCGCCTACGGTGACTTCGTAAATCTTAAAATATATGCCGGCCCAGTCTCTCGAAGATGCTCCTAAGAGTAGGGTGTGCGTGTGTGCGTTCATAGGGGTGAGTGTATGGGCGTACGTATGAGCGCTTGCTCTGTACTGTGTTCGGAATAAAATAAAATTGAGAAATTTATCTATACCTTTCTTTAATAGAGGGGCTATCACAAAAAATTGCGCCTAAAGTTGCAAATAAAAAAAAGGTTAACAAAGAGGAATTCCGCGCCTGGGCCGGCCCATACAGTAAGGACCTCCTATACTGCGCTTTGCACGCTGGAAGAATACAAAGTGCGCCCATTTGGGCCAACCCATGTCATAGTGGCCTCTTTTTTTTCTTTTCCATTTCCATTTTTTCTACTTTAAATAATTTGGCAATTCAAAAAAATTGAAAATTACAAAAACGATAATTTTTAAATAAAATTTCTAATACTAAAGTATTTGTAGATTCAAAAAATGTTCTAAATTTTGTAAAAAAGTGTATGCTTATTCAAAAAATGCTCTACAATTTGAAAAGAAATGTTCGCAATATCAAAAATTGTCAATGAAATAAAAAAAATGTTCTGGAAACAAACGTCCGAGATTTTGTAAAAAACTGTTGGCTTATTCATTTTATTTTACAACTTCGTGTATTAAAAAATATTAATGAAATTGAACAAAATTTCTCTAATTAAAAAATGGTCATAAATGAAAAAATATCCTAAAAATTCAAAAACTGTTCTTGGCTTATAAAATAGTTTAATCACTCATAAATGTTCGCTGATTCAAACAATGATCAAGCATTTCGAAAAAAGTTCATTAAGTCAAAAAAATGTTCGTGAATTTCAAAATTGTTCCAGCAATTTCCAAAAAAGGTTCGTCCATTCTAGAAATGTTCGCCAATTCAAGAAAATTATTAAAAAAATATTCACAATTTGTATTTTTACAAATAGTATAAAATGTTCATGAATGCAAAAAATGTTCTAGATTTTACGAAATGTTAAAAAAATTGTAAAAATGTTCATGAATTTGATATATATTCATGATTTCAAATATATTCACGGTAAAACAAATGTTCATGATTTCACGAAATTGAGTGGTAGTGTATCTCCGTGATGCATCAAAATGTGGTCATGGCCATTGGAGTTTATGATTTTTCTACCGTTGCAACGCATGGGCCCTTTTGCTAATAGATCACTGTATTATAAGGAAATTGTACTGGCCTGGCCCAGCAACCTGATGTGAAAAGGAAAAATATTTCTGACAGGTATTATAAATGAGAGAATATGGATTTGAACTCGGGACGTAACCACCAACAGGCGGTTGCCGTAACCGCTAGATTGAGCTGTCGTACTTGTCCACTAACTGAAAGAAGAACTATTTGACCAACTAGATGATTCCCCGCGCGTTGCTGCGGAACATGTTGCCTAAAATTTAGTGTTTTACTCGGCAATTAGGAAATCTATGAACAAATGCTTGTTATATATGACAAAAATAATATATAGTCTATCACCCCCGCTTCTTTTTGCAAGGGATGAAAGCTTCCAAGCTACAACTAAAACGTTGTCACAAAGCTATAGCCCACTGGGTTGAACTCGTAGAGGCACTCATGCACCGACTACTTCGTCATGTGCCTCACCGCCGCCGGGGAGGGTTTCTTCTTGGATACCGGTGTTGGTGGTTACCATGGTGGACACACTTTGTTGCCTGTTGAGCTGTGGCGACCAACATGGCCGAGCCGGAGAAAATCAACCCTGGTACACAACTTTAACAATGGTGCAAACATATCTTTTTTTTTTGAATTGGTGCAAACATATCTAGTTCAATCCTAACAGGTATTTAACAATTCTTAGCATATAAAATTCAGAAGAAAAAAAGGGCGACACAACATAAGATATATAACAGATAATGGACGATCATGTTCTTACTGAGTTAATACACTCGCAACGATGCCACATGAAAAAGAAAGTTGACAGTAGCAGAGTAATTCATCCTACCTCGAATCCTGCATAACATCTACAATAAGCAGATGTGACATCAAATTATGAGGTGAAAATAATAAAATGAAACCTGGGATTAAACCTGCTATATTCTTCTCGATGTTTGCGTAAATTCATAAGCGCGAGGTTGGACTTCTTGTGATGTTGCTTTTTTTCTGGGAAGATATGTGTCCATTTATGATCAACGATGTACCTGTATTTGGCCAGACTAATTAAATAAATCACATTCTCCGCCTCAGGAAAAGTTTGTGAGTGAAATTTAAAAAATGCTAGAATTTAAACACCTTCAGAAAATAATTTTTAACTAATAATTAAAATAAGTAGGGTGTTTCTTTATGATGCCTTTTGACAAAGATTGTGGGTGGAGCTGACCAGGTCGGTGCTACACCGATGCCTAACCACTTGAGGATTGAGGGCATGCTGCAACGTGGGCACGTTGGCCATGTGCTGCCTTACTCGTCGCCTAGGTTATGGGAGCAGAAGCATCGACGCAAACACGTGCCACTTCATGAGATCGATAATCAATCGATTTTGTTTGATACGAACGTGCTACTCTTGCACCAGTTAGCAAGACAGGCATCCAGTGCCGCCACTGTGACTTCCTAATCCAATTAGCCTAGCAGGCCTTCAGCCCCACAGAGCGAATCAGCAGAGATGACAATAGCTAAACTCGCTAACAGAAATAGGATGGAAGTTGAGCTTAATTTTGAACCCACAAGGGCAAAAAGAAAGGCCAACTCGGCCGCCTGCCAATTCCACAAGGGCGATGCAAGAACGTGGCACCACCGGCGATTTCTCTAGGCAGAGCGTGGCTGTTCTTCTAGGATCTGCAATTTCTCGGCAATGGTAGGAAGATGGCGCGGCGCGGCGCATCGGTGGTTCGTGGGTGATCACTAACCGAGCGGCAACGTGTAGGCAGGTGGTAGAAGGGGGTGAGGGCAGAGGCATGGTGCACCGTGATGCAATCGAGGGCTTGAGCAGAGGAAGATGGGAGAGATAAGGATGGATGGATCGGGAGAGGAGTGGAGATATGATAAGGATATGGTAAACCCGATGGCCACATGCGGCCGGTGGTGCGATTTTATGTTCGATCGGGAGTAAACCCGACTGGCTCATCTCTTGGTTACGGAAGCAGAAGAGATTCTTTTTTTGTTTGCATGGTGAAGCGGAAGAGAATCCGTCGGTCAGGTTACCAGGGCATCGGTGACTACGAAAATAAATCACAGATTTTTCCTTGGTGTGGAGACGTGAATTACTGTCCCTTTGGGAGCCGAGGAAAGCGGAGCCAACTTGCTCTTGGGCTACCTCGTGCCTTATCAAACCACTGCAGAGTTTTTGGTGACACGGTGGAGGGTAGAAAAAAATGCCATGCATGCAAAAGCAAAAGAATTAGCATAGTGGAGGGTTGATGCTGATGTGGCTGTAGGAGAATGGATGATGATGTGGATAGCCTGCATGCTTAGTTAAATAGGTTAGTGGGGATAAACTATTTAGGTATTATAGATTTTCCAGTATACACTAAATATATATTCAATATTCAATATTATTTATCTAAAATGAAATTCAAAAAAATATAAACCTTGAATTCTAAAAAAAGTTCATCATATTTAAAAAAAGTTCATTGAATTTGAATTTTTTTATCAAATTTGAAATAATTTCATCAAACTTAAAAAGTTCACCGATTTAAAAAAATCATCGAAAAAGGAAAAAGTTCACCAATTTTTAAAAAGGTTCATCAATTTAAAAAAAACATAGTTTTTGAAAAAAGTTCATCAACTTTGAAAAAAGTTCAACAAATTATGAAAAAAGTTCATCAATTTTGAAACAAGTTCATCGAGTTGAATAAAAGTTCGCTAATTTGATTTCTTTTCATCTAATAAGGAAGAAGAAAAAAGGAAAAAGAATGAAAATGAAAAAGAAAAAAAAGAAAAGAAGAACCCAAATGATAAGTGCCACATGTGTGGCACAAAGTGAGACCGCCCTGGCGTTTTTACAACTAAAATTTTCATCCAAAAAGAAAACAAAACCCAAAAAGCCGAAACTTGCCATCCAAACGGAAAGTTACCATGCTTCACAACAAAGTTGTTATCCTCAGATAAGTATCACACGTGTGGTACTTATCAAGGTCCAAGAAGAAAGAAGAAGGAAGAAAATATATGAAATGTATGTAACTTATCTCTAAGGGCTAAGTGGACCGGATGACCGACGCTGGTTAGCGTCAAAAGGTTGTGCTTTCGCTGAGGTGAGCCGCCAGTTGGGCCGGCCCATGTATGGGGTTCGCGTTTTTTCTGTTAGCTACAGCCTCCTTCGTTGTTTCCTGCCATTTTTTTCTGTGGTTTTCTTATTCTGGTTTTTCCAATGTCTTGTCTGGTTTTCAGTGGTTTTGTTCTGGTTTGTTTGTTCTTTTTTCCTTTCATTTTTTACGTTTATTTCTTTTATGTCTACCCACCTCCTATTTTTTTTCATCATATATTAAAAAATGTTTTACCGTACATTACGAAAAAGTTCACTATGCATTACGAAAATGTTTACCACGTACTATAAAAATATTCATCCTACAATATACAAAATGTTTTCCATATATTAAGAAA